AAAATGGGGGAAAAGAAGCCGAGGCAAATAAGGGTGAAAATGGGAACAGAAGAAAAAAGAAAATAATATGACAAATAAAAGTAAAAAGAAAAAAATGACAAATAATAAACTTTCCAAGATATATTTAAGCCAATCAGCTCCTAACCCAGTCTTATTTTCTTGTTTATAGTAATCAGAAATCACCATATCAGAAGACAGAATAGTCAGTCGGTGTTTTTAAGCTAAAACAAGAATGGTTGCAGGAACTGGGCATGTCTAATGAAGAGAAGAACCAGGGGAGACATGATAGTGTTCCAATATTTGAGGGGTTGTCACAGAGAGGAGAAGATCAACTTATTTTCCAAAGCACCTGAAGGCCAGACAAGGAATAATGGATGGAAACTGATCAAGGAGAGATTCAACCTGGAAATAAAGAGAAATGTCCTGACAGAGAGAACAATCAACCAGTGGAACAGATTGCCTTCAGCTGTTGGTGCTTCATCACTGGAGGCTTTCAAGAAGAGACTGGACTGCCTTGTGTCAGAAATGGTGTAGGGTCTCCTGCTTGGCCAGGCGGTTAGACTGCAAGGTCCCTTCCAACTCTGTTATTCTATCTTATTCTATCTATCCAGTATCCCAAGAGTACCTAGCCAGATTTGAGGGCATAATATGCCCTTCCCCATTGGCCAGTCAGGAAGCAGTAGATGGGCACTGCAGCCAATCGTCATTTGAGACCCCAATGGAAGTGGGCTGTGCAATGGGGAGACTTGTTTTGGGGACCAGTCTTCCTCTCCAGCTCTTGTTCTTGGGGGTCTGGATCAGCAAAGCAAGAACGTGAGTTGGTTTAGGTATTCTCATGTTCTGATGGCTTGAGTGGAATTCGTTAACTCTCTGCAGGTCTGGTCAACTTTTGGTTGAGTTTAATCCTTTTTGGTGGTCCATCTTGACTCCATTAAGTGCTTTGTAGACAGTTAGCTAATGGTGGCTGAGAGATGTGGGTAGCTTGAGCTGTGGTGAGGGTGTGTGAACATTTTAAAAGAATGTGTAGAATGAGTTTTTCTAGAATCCAAAAGCATTCTAGAAATGGGAAGGTTAAGTAGGTTGGAAAAGGAAACCAAATGGATTCTTACAGTGCAATGAGACTTATGAGATTTATAACCACAAATACCTTGCAAAACATTAAGCAAGAGTTATCATTTGGTGGTTGTTATAAACTATCATTTCAAGCTTTAGGTAGGAAATTTGTTTTTAGTTACTAATCCATGGTAAATTAGCACATCAAGAAGAAAAGTAGATTTGAATCCTTGTTCCTGAAATTCTAAGTTTGTTTTTTTCCCATTTGTGGGAATGCCTCTGCTTTGGAACCTCTCCCCCCTCCAGGGATCCTTGGGAGTTTCCTACCTGCCGCCCAAGAAAAGCTACTCTGCTTGGCTTAAATCCATGGCCTGCCTGTCTATGAACAGTCTCTGTCAACAATAGCTAAGAATAGACTCTGTGTGCTCTGAGACAGGATATTGCTGAATTCTGTGTGCTTGGCACAGTCTTGTCAAAAATTCTTGGTGCACCATCTCTATTTGGAGGGGGAAACTCTGGTTAGAAGACTTTAGGTACCTTCTTCAGTATTGAAATTAAGTTTTACTTTAACAACACAGTTTGAATCTCACATCCTTCTTTTATATTAGCAATATACTGTGTTAGAGTGGAGCACAGTTTTGTAGGTAATTATAAAAAACCTATTAGCCAAATAAATAAATAAAGTGTCAGGAAGTTTCACCTAAATTCCAGGTTGCTTCTCTCTTTGATCAGTTTCCAACCATTTTTTCTTGTCCTCCTTTGGTGAAAGTTGCATTTATGCCTTTCATGGTAGATGTGAAAAGAATGATATACAGTAACTGCAGAATATTCCAAAGAAAGCAAAAACTCCACAGATGCTAGTCTAACAAAACTGTCTTGTGTCTCACTTCAGACCAATCCAGTCCATTGAGACCGTCTGATGAAAATATTCTTGATTCAGCTGGTTGGCATGCCTGCCTCAGGCAGCATTTCTCCAAATATTTTCTGCTGAACCATTTCCCTACTTTTGATTGGCTTGTCTGCAAATCCAGCTTTTCCCTGCTTTTCTAAAACAACCACTTTGTGGGACTTTTGAGGCTCTCTAGAGGAGGCTGCGTGGAGTGGATGGTAGAAGAAATCACAAGAGCGCTTCTGAAAACGAAATTTAGGTGAGACCTAAAGGACATTTTTCTCTGAGATCATGGAAACTTTTGCTCCAGGAAATAATCCCAGTGCAGGTCCCCTATTCCAGATAGAAAAAGTTTGGTTTATTTAAAACGGGGAAAGTCAACTGCCAGATCACACACCTATTTTTTCAAGGCCCTGGAATTTTCTCTACCTACAACTGCTGAAAACTAGTGACATTGTTTCCTGCCTTTCTAAGGAAGTCCTAAAATAGGTTAACCAAGTTTTAAAAAGAAAAGTCCACACCCAAAAACAACAACAAAAAAGACAACTCAGACCTCCCAATATTTTTAGTATATCCTGAGCCACTGAGAGGTTGTCCACCTCCAGTTTCAATAGACATTGTGAGAAAAGTGTGGGCTTTGTTTACCTCAGCAATTTAACATCTACTGGAGGTTGCATGGCTGCTTCAACATACACACAAGACCCATCTTGTGACAAAGCCAAAAGTTTGTGGAGGAGGCAGCCTTGGCCATTTTGGGGAGAGATAAAAGTGTAATCAGTAGAGGTTCTGG